GGCTTGTTGTGCTGTTGGGTTATTTTTTTGGTGAAATTCACATGATTAATTCAAATAATCAAATCCTGTTGAAGAAGCCATGGTGCCATACCTGAATTAGGAAATATTTGCAAGTTATTTTAGGTAAACTTCAGCTCACTCATAATAAGAACATGAGTCAGAAAATGTAAACAGTAGGTCTCTTGCAATAAATGAAATTTTAGTGTTACCAAAGCTCTCCTTTTTCAACATCAACATTATGTGAAGACCACTCATACACCTTCACTCGTACTATGCAGACATAGATGACACTGGGAATTCTCGTGAACAGAAATTCTGGCCTTGAGGGCTGAGTAAGGTTTGGAGCATCAGCTATTCTGTCTTAGATGACAACTTTTCTAAGTCTGGAAATGAATGCTTGGCAAATGAATACAGCTTTGGTAACTTGTAAGTTGGCCGGGCAATGCACAAACTAATCAAATAGAACCCACAAAGAAAAACCTATCTTGCTGAAAAACAAGTTTTGACAATATCCAGTGATTTTTCAAAACAAAAAAAGGTAGGAAAATTCTTGACATTCTATTCAACTAAAAATTCAATTCAAAGGATGTTACTATTTAAGGTAAAGGTCTTATATTCTGTGCTCACTCCCAGGTAACAGAGGGCAGAAAGATGAATGAAGGGCCAACCCTTGCTAAAGGCTACCAGAAAATTAGTTTTGTTACAGAGGTAGTGCATATGGTGTGGCGTAGATCCTTGTTACGCAGAGTGTGCTCCAAAGACCAGCAGTATCCCATCACCAGGGGGCTTACGAGAGTCTCAGGTCCCACCCAAGACCCACTGAATCAGGATCAGCATTTTGTCATGATACCCTGGTCTGCACGCTAAACTTCGAGAAGTGCTAATGTAGAACATGAATTGTGGAGCCAGATTGCCAGGGTTTCAACCCCAACTCTGTGCCTTACTAATTGTGTGGCACTGGCAAGGAATTTCACCCCTCAGTGCCTCAGTTTTCTCATTTGTTAAATGGAAATAATAGTCATTAGGACATGTGAATGTTTTAAGACTTAAGC